TTAGACCAGACATCCTTCTGGACGACCTTCTGAATGAAGCCCGGGCTGCGAGGGAAGCCCAGGTCCCGGGTGCCAGAGGGAAGCCGGTGCCAGCAGCTGGGGGAAGGAAGGCCTACTCTTGCACCAATTTCGTGCATCGGGCCTCTAGTAAACTTTAAAGAGATATAATAAACAGTTCATAATGGCTGTTCAGAGGCAAAAAAAGTAAAATAAAGGGTGGTGCCTCAAATGTGCTCATTTATCATTCAGTCAGGTTACCCCATCCCCATCAGGTAATATGATGGCACTCCTAATGGTCTCCCTGGTCTACACTTGCCTCTCTATAATATTTTCATTACATCCTTTAAAAACATCACCTTTGTAATCACTTCCCTGCTCTAAGCCCTCAACAGCTGCCCAGCATGCCGAGAATAACATTCAGAGCCCTTACCACGACCACGACCCACGGGACTGTCTGTGACCTCCATTCGCACATATGCGTCCTTGCTCACTTCCCTCCAGACACAACCACTTCCTTGCAGTTCCTCTAGCATGTTGCCACCTGAAGGCCTTTGACTTTGCGGCTCTCTCTGCTTTTAATTTTCCTGGCCCAATAGTCCTCCTCATTCAGATCTCTATTCACGTACCCTTCCCAGAATACCCAGTCTTAGTAGATGACTCACCCATCACCCTCTGTCTTCTTAACCAACTTTCCTTTTCTTCACACTATTCCTCGCTCTGCAACTTTTTTATTGTCTCTCCCCCCATAAGAGTATAAGTTCCACGGAAGAGCAGCTTTTTTTCTGTTTCACTTACAATCTTATTCATCGTGCCTACAAAGTTGCCTGCAAATATAGAAAGCAATCAGTAACTATGTGTTGGACCCACGAGCCCTTGAATTTTTTGTTAGATATTAAGTGTCTTGAAGATAGTAAATTATCTTTTCATCTTTGTAGCCCCATCAACTGGCACAGTTCTCAACACTTAGGTAGTGCTTAACAATTTTTACAAAATGTTGTATGAGTAAATCCAGAGGAAACTCAGATTGATAGAAGGAAAATTGCATGTGGACGGTGTGAGGAAAGAGCAAATGGTTTGCGTTGATGAGTAGGAAATTCTTTTCACATTTAAAAATAGTTGGTATGGCTTTAGGGTGCCTCCCACTCTAGAATAATCATCTCCAAGTGAAGCTGCCAAAAAGTTAGTCCTAATAATAGGAAGTATCTAATAAAGTGTAATGTCTTTTATTACCATACATACTCCTTTTAAATAATTTACTTATTGTGAAGATAAAGGAAGCAATGGTCTCCTTTTCTAGTGGTGTATTAAGTGTTTTTAGGTTCTAAGTCCTGATTAATCTGCCAAACAATAGGCCTGACTAATCTTCCAAGCAAAACACCTCAGTCTGGGCATGCAGATAATTTTGTATCTTGTCATTTCAGTCTCCCCTAATAAACCATGACTCGGGCTTTGGAGTAATGGATCCCATGTGTCCAATGATTAAAAGAACAGCATTTGACCAAGCTTATAGTGTCATTCATGTTTTCTCTGTATTGTTTTCATTCCATTGCCCCCATCAAGTGATTATGCACTGGCTTAACATCATAAATTAGTTTGGAGAAGGATGTTAAACAAATAACTTTGAATTTTCCAGGATGAACTTAACTTGTAGAAATGTAAACAAAGGAAATATAGAAGAAAGCTAATTTCCTGGGCATAATTTACCGTAAAAACTACTTGTGTACACATGACACCCTCAACAGCTGCTAAGCCACATGCAAATAAGCAATAAGTTCCTAGCCCCGTTTTAATATTCAGGAAGTGCCTCATTTGCAAGATGATAAGTGAGGAGGTGGATGGGGCTGGGGCAGGGCTGGAACCATATTGCCTAAGCCACAATGGGGGTGCAGAATGCTTCGCCAGCCGGCACTTATGGTGAACCGAAACTGGTACTCAGATGCGTACATGCCTGCCCAGGCACTGACGAAGGGCTACCAGGACATTGCCACGCAGTTCATCTCCAACCTGGACATTGACGCGATCCTGGGTGGAGGCTGCAAGTATACATTTCCCAAGGGGACCACAGACCTTGAATACCCTGGTGATGCCAGACAGCGCAGAGTCAGGCTGGACAGACGGAACCTGGGTCAGGAGTGGCAGGCCAAGCACCAGGGTGCCGGGTATGTGTGGAACCGAAGGGTGCTCATTTAGGCATCCCAGGATCCCTCTGTAACACATCTCTTGGATCTCTCTGAGTCGGGGGACTTGAAGTATGAGGTCCACTGAAACCCAAGCTGGACCCAACCCTGATGGAGATGACAGAGGCAGCCTGAGTCTGCTGGGCCTGAACCCCTGTGGCCTCTACTTGTTCCTGGAGGGGGAGCCCACATCGACCATGGCCATCAATGAGAGCAGAGCTTACCTGGCACTGACAAAGACCATCAGTTTCTTTTCCTTCCTTTCTTCCTACCTTCCTCCCTCCCCTCCTCCCTCCCTCCCTCCCTCCCTTCCTTCCTTTTCAGAGAGGGAGAGAGAAAGATAGATAGAAAACATCAATGATGAGAGAGAATTATTGATCAGCTGCCTCTTGCACAACCCTCACTGGGATCGAGCCCGCAACCCAGGCATATGCCCTGACCGGGAATCAACAGTAACCTTCTGGTTCATAGGCTGATGGCTACACTGGCCAGGCATGAGACCATCAGTTTCAATGATGCCATGGACAGCGCCAGCCAGCTCACAAATGAGGACACACTGACCCTTGTCACCACTGAACACTCCCACATCTTCACTTTTGGTGGCCCGAGGTAGATGCCCTTCTGAGCACAACAGGGTGCTTCGTGGGCATGAGGAGGGGACAGGAGCCAGTAATGAGAAGAAGGCAGTGACAGCTCTATCTTTGGGCTTAACTTTTGCTAGAAAATTCATTCTCACAGGGAAGTCAAGCCTCCCAACCCAACTCCCACCCCCCACTGACTTCCAGGCTTTCTTGGCCCAGTTCATCACGGAGGTGACCTCATTACCATGTGTTGGTTGTACTGGTTACATCGGGCTGCCCCACTCACACCAGTGGTATACTAGTTGGTCTTGACCCCACACAGGTAGGCTGTGGCAGTGTTTGTTCATGTTGCATGTCTTGGCCAGAGCCATGTATGGGAATTGATCCATGGCCTGGGGTTATCCCAGGCCCTAGCTTGCCATTCATCTGTTCCTTTAAGATCCGAGCTGCTGTCACCATGGACACCCCCATCCCATCCCCCAAGAAGATAATGAGGTTCTTGGCAGCCATCTGGGTGGGCTGCAGCTTCTCAGCGATGTCCAGGGTCTGGGCTGTGTGGTAGTTCCAGAAGGCTGGGTCTTCCTCCTCAATGGAAAGATGCCCAGGAGAGCCATAGCCTCGGGTCCAGCAGCAGCAGCCAGGCTCCCCGTAGGCCTGTGGGACCATGGGAAGGTGGCGGAGCTGGAACTCCAGACGGGCTGGGACCTAGTGAGGCTGGGCCTTGGGCAAGGCTGAGACACCAGAGTGCCAGCTGCAGGGCAAGCTCTACTCTTCAGATATTGAGTGTTTGCAAAGGCTTCTGCTCTCCGCACACACAGGCTTCTTGTGGAGTTCTTCAAACACTCTGAAGTGTGTCTTCAATGTGATCCGTCTTTCAGTCCTTAATTTCAGGCCTGTTTTAAAACATGGGGACGCTCAAGATGGGTACACGTTGTTTCATCTTGGGAGCTCTTTTGCCATCAGTTTTCAACTGTTGCTTTACGCGGGCAGCTTGACAGTGTAAAAATTCAAACCTTGGCATTGATCAGTAGAAAACAGAACCTTTCACCCAGCTAGTGTGGCTCAGTGGTTGAGTGTTGACCCACAAACCAGGAGGTCACAGTTCGATTCCTGGTCAGGAGATGTGCAGGAGGCAGCTGATCAATGATTCTCTCTCATCATTGATGTTTCTCTCTCTCTCTCTCTCTCTCTCTCTCTCTCTCTCTCTCTCTCCCTTCCTCTCTTTGAAATCAATAAAAACATATAAAAAGAAAACAGAACCCATTGTCCATGTTTTTCTTCCCTCTCAGGTGTGCATCTCCTAAACTATAACGGTTCCCAAAGGACTTGCAACCAGGGGAGCAATGGGCAGCAGCAGCTTGTCCCGATCTAACCCCCGGAGCCTGTCGCCAAGGCCCCCTTTTCTCTGACTCTCCAGTGAGCTGACAGCAGCCGCACCTCAACTCACTTCTTTCCCATTGGTTTCTAGAGAACCAATGCAGCCCCGCCAAGGCTCTCTCCTGTTGCTTCTTTTATCCTAAGCCCTTTCTTGCATCACTGTCTCTAGCTTCAATAAATGTACTCTCAAAATCACGTGGAAAAAAGGAAAAAGAAAACAACTGCCAAACACGACTTTCCAGCTCATTTAATTACTGAATTGGTAGACTGCGCCTGAAAAGTGTTTATAGAGATAATTTTCTTATTAAAATAATTTATCACAATTACTATACACCCTAAGTACACTATTGTTTCCATAAAGTAGTGATAGGTATTAATAATATTGCTCAGTTTTTCATCCTTGTATTTACAGCACTGTAAACTTGTGCAAAAATCAAATTGTTAAAAAATATAATGTGTTTATGTGTATTTAATATCCCAATATATATAGATATTTCAAATGTGATTTTAGACCATCATACCCACCCCTCCAAAATAGTTACATTCAGTTCATCACTAAGAATGGACACATATCCATCAAGTTTATCGAGCTGGATTATTTCAGAAATACCACCACCATTCACTTTCAGCATTTCTTCGTTTTTTACAATTAATAATAAAAAAAAAAAGGTAGAAAAAAAAAGAATTTTAGATTTTTTCAAAGCCAGAATTAAAGCACTTTAGAACAAAATCAGGACAAATCTTTGCAATTCAAAGTGACTAAAGACCCTGAAGAAACACATCATGAAACCTGCCAGATCATGCCTATCCAGAGGTCTGAACTGGATTCCTTTGTAATAATTTGAATATTTCTTCTCTTTCTCAGTGATACAGGAACAACACCTCCAGAGAGTGGTATTTTTGGATTCATGATAAACTTCTCTGCATTTCTTGGTAAGTACACAAAAATTATTATCAATAAATGAAAAATTCACCATCCCATGTGAAGGAAAATATGTTATTGACAGTGTGTGTATATAATTTTTTATTGTTATTTTAAAACAGACTTTTTATTTTTAGAACAGTTTTAGGCTCACAGCAAAATTAATCCAAAGGTGGAGATATCCCATATAGTGCCTGCTCCGTCTCCCCATTACCAATTTTTTGATGAGCCTACATTGACACAAAGTCCATAGTTTATATCAGGTTCATTCTTCGTATGTGTCATTTTTTTTAAAGTATAACCTTTTTGCCTGGCCATGGCGGCTCGGTGGTTGAGCATCAACCTATGAACCAGGAGGCACGGTTCGATTCCTGGTTGGGGCACATGCCCAGGTTGTGGGCTCTGTCTCCGGTGTGGGGCGGGCAAGAGGCAGTCGATCAATGATTCTTTCTCATCGTTGATGTTTCTATCTCTCTCTCCCTCTCTGAAATCAATAAAGATATATTTTTTTTTAAAAAGGAAAAGCATTAAAAATAAATAAAAGTACAACTGTTTTGCCTGTCCATCTCTATTGGTCCAAGCAACTGGAATTTTGCTCTACTTTGAAAAACTAATATGACTTGAACTCCAGAGTTATTTATGACCTCATAGAACTATTCTTCAACTTTCCTGGCAGTTTACCATGAGATTATGAAATGAATTTTAAATGTAATTTGATTTTTAAAATTATGATTTACATACAATACATTTGTGTAAGCCAAAGACACCTAATATATAAACTCATGTTTCTCAGAGCATGTTCCAAAGGCAGCTTCCATGAAAAGCAGCTGGGGTGCTGGTTAAAATGCAGGTCCCAGGGCTATACCACAGATGGACTCCATCAGCACCTCTGGGAGTGGGGCCCAAGGGCATGTGTTGTGAACCAGCAGTTTAGGGGAGTTGGATTCTCCCTAAAGCTTGGGAACCTCTGACTAAGGTGTTGTCTCACCTGTTAGAGAGAGAGGGAAGGGGAAGCAGGGCAGTTTGTCTCCAACTAAGGCATGATTTTCCTTTTCAGTCCCACAAGTGCCCCTGAGGTGCAGTTGATAGGATACAACCCTCTCATGAGTAATTAATGTAATAACGGAAAAGCTCACCACTAGGGAGTGATTCTGGTCTGCAGATGTAACATAGAGAGCTCTCTCTCAGTTCCTTTAAAAGCGCCTACCCTACGGAACAAGCAGGTGTTTGCCAGGGACACTTCTGTCCCTCTCTACTGGTACAGGTGGGAGGGGACAGAGATGCTGGAAACTCTACTTAGTGACTTGGCACCTTTGGAACGTGTTTTATCCTTGCCAGAGAGAAAGTTTCACCCCGTCAACCATTTGTGGTCTTCCCCACCCAAGGTTTTGGAGGTGAGCAAGGGGAGGTAGACACAGTTCATCAATCCGAATGCTCTCTTCCACCATCCTTGCCCAGAGTCCCAAATAAAAAGACAGATTATTTTGTCACCAGCAAGTGTTAAATATGTTTTTGCTTTTAGGCAAGGCAGAATCCGACACGAATGTCTTTGTTTAAAAGTTTATGGTACATGATTAGCTTTTAGCCTGTTTTTATGTTTTAAAATATATTTTTATTGATTTCAGAGAGGAAGGGAGAGGGAAAGATAGAAACATCAATGATGAGAGAGAATCATTGATCAGCTGCCCCATACCAGGACTGAGCCTGTAACCTGGGCATGTGCCCTGACTGGGAATCGAATTGTGACCTTCTAGTTCATAGGTTGACGCTCAACCACTGAGCCACGCTGGTCAGGCATGTTTTTAAAATTCAGCACAAATATTATGGCCATTACACGATTTCAATACATAGAGAGCTACTTTATTCTTTAAACACATGCATGATCTTGAACTCATGGATGTATTATAATTTATTTAGTTAGTCCCCTTTGTTAAATACTTAGGCTATTTCTGATTTTGGAATTTAAAATGCTAAAATTAATATCCTTCTAAACATATCTTTGCATAATGTATATATGAGTTTCTCTATAAGATAAATTTATTGAATTAAAGGGAACAAAGATCTAAAATTTTGATAGCTGTCCATTTATTCAGCATTCCTTGACTAAGTGCCTACTATGTGACAGGCTTGTGCTTAGTTCTTTAATCATCAAATTGACATTTTTGAGTAGATAGAAAATGAAAACTTCTGAGTGATAAAAGATACAAGAAACAGAATTAAAGACAAACACAGAAGCAGAAGAAAACTTGTAATATTTATTAGAGCAGACAATAGACTAATGTACATAATGTGTAAAAAGCAGCTATAAATTAAAAATGAATAGACTGCATGGCTGGTGTGGCTCTGTGGTTGAGTGTGGACCTATGAACCAGAAGGTCACGGTTTGATTCCCAGTCAGGTCACATGCCCGGGTTGTGGGCTCAGGCCCCAGTAGGGGGTGTGCAGAAGGCAGCTGATCAATGATTCTCTTTCATTATTGATGTTTCTATCTCTCCCTCTCCCTTCCTCTCTGAAATAAAAAAATATACATTTAAAAAAATGAATAGATCTACTCAAGAGAAAATACCAAAGCATTGTAAACATGCAATTTTCATAAGAAGACATGCAAATGACAGTAGGCATACTGAAATTTGCTTAATCTCACTAATGATCAGAGAAATGCAAAGTAAACCAACAGGTGGCTATTTTTCATTTATTAGATTGGCAATCATTAAAAAGGCACGGGCATACATAATTGCTTCCAAGCTTTGCTCTGGGAGTATAAATCGCTACAGTCTTGGAACAATTTTGAGATACTTCTTGGCATTTTAGGCACAGTTTTTTGACCCAGTAATACCACTTCTAGGAATTTATCTTTCAGAAGCACTGAAAGTGTGCCAAAGACAAGGATGTTCATTGGACATTGCTTGGAATAGGAAATACACAGAAACAATGTCGAAATCTCTCATTAGGAGGAGAATGAAATAAATGTGGCATCTCACTATATACCAAGATGGGACCCCTAAACATGATGAGATAGACCTATTTGTACTGACATGGCAAGATCTCCATGGCACATTTTTAAGTGAAAAAAAAAAAAAAAAAAGCAAGTCACAGAACAGTATGTGCACAATAGCATTTATGTGAAAAGAATAACAGCCAAGAAGGTGTGTGTGTGTGTCCCCACCACACTGGGGGAAGAGCAAGATGGGGTGAGGAAGGACAGGTTGGGCATATCGGGAGACTATTGCAATTAGGAAAGTGAAAATACAAACTTTAAAAAAAGCAATACGAAACTGTTTCTGTGTTTTTCCTTTAAAACAGTCAAATAAAAAAAATTCACTACTGTACCTTTCTTTCTCAGGTGCAGCCACGATGTACACAAGATACAAAATCGTGGAAAAGCAGAATCAGACCAGCTACTTCAGCACTCCTGTCTTTAACCTGGTGTCCTTAGTTCTGGGATTGGTGGGATGTATCGGAATGGGCATTGTTGCCAATTTTCAGGTATGGCCTGAAGTTCTTTTGGATATGGGGGTGATGGAGTTTGTGAGTCCGGAAGAGAGAATCAAGAATACAAGAGTCGAGCTTGTGCTAGGATAGCTATCAAATAGTTGATGAGTTTATTAAAATGGGTTAATTTGCTTTTTAGAAACAAATACCATTTAAAACACAGTCCCATCTGGTGTTTGGAAGTGATGGGGGGCATGTGTGCTTGATTATGAGACAGAGAGAGAGTGCTTTGAGTGAAGCTGTAGGCTTTACAATGCTCCATGTTCTCAGTGATGTGGTTGATGTGTTGGGAGAATGACTTCAGCTACTGTGATGACCTCACTAAGTGTGAAAACATTTGTGTATGAGTATGTGTGTGTCTGTGTGTGTGTACTGATTTTATGGTTTGAACCTCTGGTGTGAAAATCAAACAATGGCACCTGATCTCTTCCTTTCCCAGAATAGGCTATAGGTGCCTGGAAGTGAAATAATTTGCTCAGGGTTCCTTAGCTAAGTAGTTGCTGAGCCAAAATGTAACCCAGCTAGAGTCAATGAACTTACATGACGACTACTGAGGAGTCTGCTCGATCTAATCTTATGGTGTCAGGTGTTCAGAAAACACCCTACTTGTTTTTCTAATTTGTGGATTCCTATTCATTCTGAGATCTCTTTCAAGAAAACATGGGACCTACTTAGCTACGGAGACAATGTTTAATATTTTAAAAACATTTGCTGTGTTTAAATTAGTACTAATTATAATAGTACCCAGCTCCTAGAATTATTGCAAGAATTGGGTGAGATAATGTATGGTAGCCAGTGGTCTGTACTTGGGGGTCATTTTGTCATCATGGGTTCATCATTACAGGCTAACACTAGGGTGGTCCTGCTCTCTCCATCACTATTGTCTCCTGTGACAGCAGAAAGGAAATTACTCCAGGACAACTTTTTGTTCAGCCAGGGGTACTCCTTTAATTTAATTTAATTTAACTTATTATTATGATTATTTTTAATGTGTTATTTTTAAATGTATCTTTATTGTTGAAAGCGTTACAGATGTCCTCTTTTTTTCTCCCATTGACCCCCTCCTCTCCACTTCCTTCCTCTCCCCAGGCTTTCTCCCCACTATTGTCCATGTCCATGGGCTATGCATACATGCAAATAAAAGTTTTGGTTGATCTCCTTCTGAGAATCCTCATGCTGTTGCATGCTTCCATGTCATATTATTTTGTTCATTAGATTCCACATATGAGTGAGGTCATGTGATACTTGTCTTTCTCTGACTGGCTTATTTCACTCAGCATAATACTGTCCAGGTCTCTCCATACTGTCTCAACAGTTAAGAGATTCTTCTCTTTGATAACTGCATAGTATTCCTTTGAGTAAATATGCTACAGCTTTTTTATCCACTCATCTACTGATGGGCACTTGATCTTAGCTATTGTAAGTAATGCTGCTATGAACATAGGGGTGCATACATTCTTTCTGATTGGTGTTTCAGGCTTCTCAGGATATAGTCCTAGGAGTGGGATCACTGGGTCAAATGGCAGCTCCATCTTTAATTTTTTGAGGAAACTCCATACTGTTTTCCATAGTGGCTGTATCAGTCTGCATTCCCACCAGATGTGTACTAGGGTTCCTTGATTATTAGAGGAAAGACTACATCTCTATGGTGTAGAGCAGTGATTTTCAACCTTTTTCATCTTATGACACACAAAGTAATTACTAAATTCTTTTTGCCAATCTGATAAAAAATAGCTATACTTTTGATTCATTCACATTGGATGGCTATCATTGTGTTGGTTGTTAACTTTTTAAAAAAATTTTACAATCTAATGGAAAAGAAGTCGGTGCCCCTGGCTAAATAGACAGGTATTGCATGTTTCAAAAATTCTGTCACAGAATGCCAGTTGAAAATAGCTAGTGTAGAGAGAGAGAGGTGAGGGGGAAGGGCGAGAGCTCGCTTTCTTCTCCTATTGTTCCCCTGTGGTGAAATCAGATATTCTGTGCTGCAATGCATGGTTGCCCATGACATTTCCCACATGGTAGAGACTCTGTGACATTTCCTTATGTTCTATGATCATATTCATTTTGTTTCTCATAACATGTAAAGGAAATTTTCTATGTGACATACTTATGACAGCATTCACTGCTCTAACTCATACAATTCTAATGACAACCTTCGAAGGTACGTAGTATAATTTTCCTTATTCTCAATGGAGAAGTGGAGGCCCAGAGAGGTAATACTTACCCAAGATCATAGGAGTAGGAAAGGTAGAAGTGGCCCCTGCATTGAAGCAGTCTGTCCTGAACCTGTGGGAAAGAGGTAACCTCAATGTTACAATGAGGATATCTCTGGGAGAAAAAAGCATGTCATGATTCACAGAGTTGCAGCATCAGAAAGCATGATGAAAAAAAGGGGGGGGGGGCGCCTAGAATGATATCCTTTGTCTAGTAGGTGTGGATAGGAATTGTTCAGCAAGGGATAGTAGGCACTGTCTGATATCCTAATTACTTTATTCTCCAAATCACTCAACATTGTTAGTGATACACCTGCCAATTTTTAAGCCACAAAGGGCAGACTTTTGGAAGAAAACTTAGATGGTTAGATAATTGGGCTCATGACGAGATTACATTTTATCAAAACCCAGAAATAGAATCGGTAACTTTCCTGAGAGCAAAGTGTTTGCCTTGTCATTGTTCCCATCTTGACAACTTCCTTGTTTGACATCCTGCAATTCATTTTCGGCAGGCCATGAGCAAACCAACTTGAGCTGTTACCTTGAGAAGAAGGAGAGATGTGAGGGCAGGAGAGAGCCTTGGTTCTGGTGGGATTTTCCTGAGCAGGAAGTATATTGTGTTTATCAGAAGTTCACAGATAGCTTCCTTTCCTGGACTGGTGGGTGGGATGGCTACGTTTAGGTATGTCCTCACCAGTGTCTGCCTCTGCTGTACTTTTCCTCGAGAAGTTTCCTTTTTGAAAAGTCATGTTTTCTAAGGTTGAACACTCTCAATATCCTAGTTTTCTCTCTTTTTACTCAGTTTTCAATTAACCAGAGAGTTTTGCAAGAGATCTCAAAAGGGCACCAGGTGTTCATCTTATCCTCAGTCCAAGATTCATGTCGGATCTAAGAATCATTTCCCTTCAAAAGGCATTTTTGATAAGAGAGTTTGTGCTCCACAGGCCAAATACAGCTCTGTGATCTGGAACTGTCAGGGTTAATGTGGGGCCTGTGCAGTTTGCAGATTAAGATCCCTAAAGGAGTGTTGACATGGGCCAGGCCGAGGAAGCAAATCCCCTGACAGTGCTGGTGGGAGGGAAAAAGTACGTAAATTCAGAATGTTGACTTAGCATGGAAAAAAAGGTGGAGTGGAAAGAACCAGGATTCTCAGAAGATTATTCTTGGAAATGACTCAGTAGTGGATGCCTTGATTTTTGTTTATTTTCCCTTGACCAAATGTGCCTAACTAACATTCAAGGAGTGAAAAAGACTTTTTCTTCTTAATTTTTTTTTACTTTTTTTTTTTTGGTTTAATATTGCTTTCTCCCCAATTTTATTGAGATACCATTGACATATTACATTGTTTCAGTGCAAGATATATAATATAGTGATTCGATATATGTATATATTGTGAAATGATTAAACAGTAACTTTAGTTAACATTTATCACCTCTTATAGTTACTTTTTTTCCTTGTGAGGAGCATTTTTAAGATTTACTCTCTCTGAAAAAAAAAATTTATTTCCTTAGCAACTTTTGGAAATACATACACCTTTATTCAATATAGTCACCATGCTGAACGTTATATATAACTGAAAAGTTTTTACCTTTTATTTTTATTTTGTAAACTTTATTTAAATATATTTTTATTGATTTCAGAGAGTAAGGGAGAGAGAGATTCAATGATGACAGAGAATCACTGATTGGTTCTCCCCACATGCCCCCCACTAGGGATTGGGCCCACAACCCGGGCATGTGCCCTCACTGGGAATTGAACCGTGACCTCCTGGTTCATAGGTTGATGCAGTATGTTTTTTTGTGAACAGTCTAGATGAAGAACACAGTGGGGCTATGGAAATCTGGGTGGTCAAAGAAAAGTCTGGAAAACAGGTGTGGACAATGAGTTGTGGCCAAAATTAGGCTTTCGTGGACAATACTTTAACCTGCCCCTTTGCAAAACTCAAAATTATAAGTTCAAGTAGGGACTCAGTCATTCAATCTGAATGTCATTGTTATGCCGGAAGGTAGGTGCTCATTGAACATTTGAAAGGAGCTTAAAGTGAGCTTTATGATGGCTCCCTATGACCACATTTGGGGTAACACCAGGCTTTCTGCCTAGACTGGATATAGGGACTGCCTTCTTGTTGAAATGACTCGGGGCCAGGGACTTGATTTGAAGTTGTCTTAGCATTGTAAGAGCAGTTTTTTAGATTTGGGGTAGCTTGGGAGGGACAAATAGAGATTAGTGAGGAGCAGGGAGCCTAAAAACCCCAAGCACCCTTGGCACTTTTGCATAATTTTGTATGCAGTTTATCAAATAAGCTACATTGCAGACCTGCAAGGCAGAAATGAATACAGCCATTTTACAGATCAGAAATTGAGTTTTTAAACTAAGGACCCAAAGCCCAGTGGTGGAGTCAAGATTTTTACTCAGGTTAGCCAGACTCCACAGCCCACCATGCCCCACTTTGCCCCTCTAAGGTAGACGTCGCTCTGTCCTCATCCCTCATGCCCTCATGTTGCTGTAGAACATTTACTTCATTGTGGGGGAAGGCTTTTCTCTTGGTAATCTTGTGCAAGCAGCCACATTTTCTTTCTTTTTAAAAAGTATATTTTTATTGATTTCAGAGAGGAAGGGAGAGGGAGAGAGAGAGAAACATCAATGATAAGAGAGACTCATTGATTGACTGCCTCCTGCAGGCCCCACACTGGGGCTCGAGCCTGCAACCCAGGCATGTGCCCTGACTGGGAATCAAACCCCAGACCCTTCAGTCCTCAAGCCTCTGAGCCAAACCAGCAAGGACCATTTTTTCGATTTGGGGTCATCTGTGACCATGGATGGCCTCCGGTAGCCAGGAGGAGGGAGTGCTCAGATCACGGTGTGGACAGACCCACTTGGAATAACGCATACATGTGTCTTTCTCCCTAGGAGTTAGCGGTCCCTGTGGTCCATGATGGTGGTGCCCTTCTGGCCTTTGTCTGCGGTGTGGTGTACACACTCCTGCAATCCATCATCTCCTACAAGTCCTGTCCCCAGTGGAACGCCCTCTCCACCTGCCGCGTACGGATGGCCATCTCCTTCATTTCCTGCGCAGCTGTCATCCCCAGTATCCTTTCCACATCTGTTAGTGGCCTTACAAGCTCGACAGCTTCCCCTACCTGCCCCCCAGCAAAAAGGAGCATGAAAAAAGCAAAGGTTAACGGCCAGGTTTCCATATACTTCAGACGAACCATTGGAAGACAAGTGTCAATCATTGAGAATATGTCTCAACTTGGTCAGGTTGGATAACAACCATGTTGAGGGAAAAGAATGGTATGAAAGGAGGCTGGGAAAATGAGTTTCTGCTTCTGTTTACTTTCCTTCCAGCAGGGTCAGTTTTAAAAGCCATGTAAAATATTTATTTTTCTTTGGAGTACTTGGCTAAAGAAAAGACATCAAATATTGACATTGTACTTAAAGGAATAGCTCTGTGAAGTCCTAGGAGTTCAGACTCTTCCTTCTCAGTGCCTCTAGGCCAGTGGTTCTCAACCTTCCTAGTGCCGCGACCCTTCAATACAGTTCCTCATGTTGTGCTGACCCCCAATTTCATTGTTACGAATGGAACATAATGAAAGCATAGTGATTAATCACAAAGACAATATGTAATTATATATGTGTTTTCCGATGGTCTTAGGCGACCCCTGTGAAAGGGTCGTTCGATCGACCCCCAAAGGGGTCGCGACCCACAGGCTGAGAACCGCTGCTCTAGGCAGTTCGATGTTTTCATTTACTCATCCACATTAAGAGGTTTTAAAAGCTCTGTGTTACTTATTTCTAAGTCAAAGTACAGGTAGCCTCTTCTTTTTACTGCTGATTCTATTTTCAAAATTTTATCTCATTTTGTAATTCAACGTGAAAAGAAAAAATGTATCTATCACATTTGTATGTTCTGATTTAGAGGAAATGAAAGCTCGCTCTCTCTCTCTCTCTCTCTCTCTCTCGGCATTAAACAAAGAACATAAAGAAGCTGTGGTCCCCACGGGGTGGATTATTTCCCATCTTTTGAAATACCATCTGCACTCCTATCGGAGAAAGCTGCAGAGTCATGAAAAAGGGTGATTATGTTACAGGAAAATGGGAACTCTCCTGTTAGCCATGTTGTTCGTTTGGGTTGGCCTGTGGTATAAAGTGGGCAAGCTTGGGTGGCAGTACACCATGTGATTCTGGTATTAAGTTCTGCGTTGTTCTTTTGAGATAGAAGCTATACAAAATGCGAAGTCTGCACATGGTCTCGGGGTTGGTTTTGTTTTTCATTTTGGGGAAGGAAATTTTTAATTACAAAATTTGTAAGCACAGAGGAAAAAAATCTTACTAGTAGTATTGAGAAATTTAACGACAAAATATATACCCTGGTTCCTAAGATAGTTCTTTCTCAGTTTTCTTGTCCTGTTTATGGATTGAAGACATTCATCCTTTCTCTTCAAATACATATTCTTCAGACCTTTAGCCTGAAACCTTCCCTTGCTTTTAACTCTGGAGACAGATCTCTAAATATTAAAATCAGAGAGAGTTTTAGCACAATAAGCATTTCAGGCCTCAGAGTTTCAAATACTATGAGTTCCTGTTTCTAGTTCTTAGCCATGCCAAGAGATTGCAGCCCCACACAGAAGCAGGGTATGTTCCTGTATCACCTTACCTTGAACAGATTCTTCCACATAGAAAAGTCTTTGGCATTAAACATTAGCATGGTATTTATATTCACTTACAAAAATTGCAAAGCATCTTTAAAATGCCTTTGTTTCTCTTTACTGTGAAATAGCCTCATTTAACTACTGAAGAAACTGAGGCACATTAGAGTTAGGCTTCTAGGCCCTTCCTGGTAAACTCTGTCTTGCACCGGCTTCTACAGTGTAAACTTCACAAAGTAACAGCACAAGGTCCAGGTTCCCTTGCTTGAGACATGTGCTCTGAGAATCCCCAAGACTGGGCTGTTTCCTGCCCTCTGCTTTTGCCCCCTGCCCTTCTCCTGGCTGAGTACCACCCCCTCCACCTTGTCTTTCTGGCCAATATGGTCGCCACAGGCCACTTGTAGCTCTTGTGCTCTTGAAATGTGGCTAGTCTGTGTTGAGACGGGTTATGGTGTAAACCACACCCCAGATTTCAAAGACTTAAAAAAAAAGTAAAATGTCTCATTAATAATTATTTGTACTATTACATGTTGAACTGGTAATATTTTTATCTATTGTGTTCAAGGAGCTATGTCATTAAAATTAAATTTCATTTCTTGTTTTTAGTTTTCTTAAAATGTTGCTGTTAGCTGAGAAACAATGCCAGAATGTTCCTGGCAAATGGACCTCAGTTCAGCAACCTTAGTACTTGAGTTCTGGCTAATAAAGAATTCAGGGCCAAGACTTAAATACAAGCAGAAGTTTATTTAGAAAGTCACAGAGGTAGAAGCCGAAGAAGTGAGCCAGCTGGGCTGCGTGGGCTCAGGAAACAAGTTACAGAAGCAAAAGAAGGGCCTTTGCAGCTTAGGAAAAACAAAGGCAGAGAGAATGCACCTTGGGGAAGGAGAGGGGGAAAGGCTCGGATGTGTTCCCCAGAGAACATGCACTGGGGAAAGAAGGGGGTGGGGAAAGGCCCTGATAGGCTCAAGAAAGAGAGAGAGGGAGGGAGGGAGGTTGGGTAAGAGGGAGAAAGAGAGAGTTGGGTCCTCCATCCAAGGGTTTTTATCCCCTCTTTAAAGGCAGGGCTCTTCGGGGAGGTCCTAGGGAGGATCTCAATAGAATATTCATCAGCTTTACCAGGTGTGGTTGGTAGGTGCCAGGGCAGAGGGTCAGTAGCCATCAAAGCTGGTCCTAATGTCAGCCATGTGTTGCCCTCCTGGCCTTACTGTTTTTCTGGGCTTGGAGCTGAGTCCTAGCTGTTATCTCCAGTTTAACCAAAACTCTGTCTCTGTGGTCAACATACCTGAGGCTGTGCTTCCAAAATCATGTGATATGTGCCAGAACCTCATTGTCCAGAGGACTTACTGCTTAAGAAGTGGTTGTGCAAAGAGTCATATGAGACTATTCTCCGCCCCCCTTGTTCCTCCTCTATGGGGAGGGTGGGGGTGGTCTGCCTCATGACTAGTGAGACATGAAAGGCTCGATAGGGGAGGAAAGGTCACCCTGGGGTAAGGTCCCTGTTTTCCTAGTTTTGCCGGTTGCTAGGTACCCTGGGATTTCCGCCCCGGTGACATTCCATACCTGGCCTATGGCTCCTAGTCTGCTCATGCCTGTCTAAGTGCCTACTGCACAGAGACTGCAGTAGAAAATTTAACATTACACATGTGGCTGGTGGTGTGTTCCTGTGGGACAGCTCTGCTCTAGAGGGCTCCTCAAACTTCATAACTTAGAGTAAGTTCAACTCCAGGAAGGCCTCACTGACACCTCAAACTCCATTCCACTCTGAATTAATACTTTTTCCTCTGCCTCATCACAGTGCTTTGTTCTTGTCTCTCATATGGCACAGCCCTGGGCTTCCTTCGACAAGACTCTGAGGTTTCTGGGAGTTGAGACCAAATCCATTTAGCCAGGGTTTCCCCCACCTCTTCCTTTTCCCCCTGCAGCATGGTACCAGGTGCCCAGAACTAAAAAACAAATAAACGAAAGAATTAAGAGGCTTTAAAACTATTAGAAACAGAAGTATGGTCATAAAAGGGTCGGAGAATCTGCTATGCTTTATTTAAAAAAACGGAGAAGTGTTCAGCATTGCAAATTATGGAGGTAGGGGGTAGGGAGAGGAGATGATGACCCCGAATTTAGAGGAGGCTCTAAACTTGGCATTGAGGCAACACTTTGAATTTTTAACTTTTTCTTAGAGCATCTCAATTCTCTTTCTCTTTTGCCTTCAAAGTTCAATCAAATGGATGTCACTGCTTTTGTGCAGACCTTGCTGTCCACGGAGGGCAATGGATTCAGTGCCTGGGCATTATTAGGCTGGCCTCAAGGTCAGGTGTAGGACATATCTCTTCGATTTTTAAAATATATTTTAATTGATTTCGGAGAGGAAGAGAGAGGGGGAGAGAGAGAAACATCAATGATGAGAGAGAATCATTGATCAGCTGCCTCCTGCATGCCCCCTACTGGGGTTAACCCACAATGTGGGCAAGTGCCCTGACCAGGAATTGAACTGTGACCTCCTGGTTCATCGGTCAATGCTCAACTACTGAGATATCCAGCTGGGCATCTTGACCACTTTTTAAGTATAGTTCAGTGGCATTAAATAACATAGTTGTGTAACCATCACCACCATCCATTCCATAATTTTTTCAACTTGTAAAACAAAATCTACACTTATCCTATATAATACAACCCTAATATGCAAAGCAGAACTACTGGTCGCTCTGATGCACACTGACCACCAGGGGGCAGACGCTCAATGCAGGAGCTGCCCCCTGGTGGTCAGTGCACTCCCACAGGGGGAGCTCTGTTCAGCCAGAAGCTGGGCTCACGGCTGGCAAGTGCAGCAGTGGCAGGAGCCTCTCCCGCCTCCACTGTAGTTGGCGGTAAGGAGGGAGGGGTCCCGAACTGCTAGAGGGATGTTTGACTGCCAACTTAGGCCCGATCCCAGGCAGGCAGACACCCCCTGAGGGGTCCTGGATAGCAAGAGGGTGTAGGCTGAGCCCAGGGACCCACCCACCCTCCCTCCCCCCTCCCCCAGTGCATGGATGTCATGCACCGGGTCTCTAGTTAAACAATAATTCCCTATTGTCCCCTTTCCCCAGGATTTGAAACCGCTGTTCTACTGTATTTATGATATTGACTACTTAAGTACCTCATAAAAGTGAAATCATATTGTACCTATGTTTTCTAATGGGCTTATTCCACTTAGCTTAATGTCTTCAAGGTTTATCTATATTGTAGCATATTGCAGAATGTCCTTCTTGAATAATATTCCATTGTATGTATATAGCACATTTTGCTTATCCATTCATCTGTCAACGGACACTTGGGTTGCTTCCAACGTTTAGCTATTATGAGTAATGCTGCCATGAACATGGCTGTACAAATATCTCTTTGAAACTCTACTTTCAGTTATTTGGGGTGTATACCCCAAAGTGGAATTGCTGCATCATATGGTAATTCTATTTTTAATTTTTTGAGGAACCTCTGTACTGTTTTCCACAGTGGCTGCCCCATTTTACATTCCCACCAACAGTGCACAAGGGTTCCAACTTCTCCACATCTGTACCAACACTTGTTTTCACAACCTAATGGGTGTGAGGTAAAACATGTTTAACACTGTGTAATTATACTACTAGAAGAATAATCTAGTCTTAACATTAAATGACCTATTTTCTTCAGTACTTTCCTTAGCACTCTTCTTTTTTTAGTGATTACCTGTGCTTCACTGATTTCCATAACCAAGCTGGAGTGGAATCCCCAAGAAAAGGTAAAATTCAAGTCATTTTCAATATGAGTGTCAAGACTGGTGGTATGAGACTGTGGCTGTGTGAAGCCTTCTTAGAAAGAAAGGATCACTGCCATTTCTTAGAACAAGTTGCAAAATATGAAGTAACTTACTGTCCAACTATTTGGCAATTCATGGGTCATAATTAGCTATTGGAATAATCCCAAATGATTCCTGGGATTATTTTCGAAATTAAAAAAAAAAATCTTTATTGTTGAGAGTATCACCCTGCTTCAGGCCTTCATCACCCTATTATCTGTGTGCATAGGTAATGCAAAAGATCTTTGAGTAATCTCTTCCTACCACTCCCCCTTCCCTCTGAGGGAAGTAAATTGAAAGAATATTATTGAAGAGGAGGGAGCCCAGATTTAGGATGATAGAGAAGGCAGTTCAGATTTCAAATAAAGACCAGCCTAGATTGATTGGGAGTAATAGGGGAAAAATATTTGATGAGCACTGGCACGTGACTAACATGAGAATGAAAGAGCATGATGAATCAAAGAGGACTTCTTGGACAAGCCAAAGAATTTGTTCCCATGACAGAGAGAGATAAGATTCCTAGGAGGATAGATTATTTCATGGGGGACGTGGATGGGTTTGTTTTTAGAATTGTTGAGTCTGGGGCTGTAGTAAAACATCAAGGAGAAATGTCCAGTTGGACACATGGGACTGGACCTCTGGTGGGATTGAGAACCATCAGAGCAGAGGGAAGAGTGAGATTTCCAGACTAAAGATCACAACACCCAGGACTGAATGTTCAGATTTGAGATGGACTTGTGCCATTAGATACTTACAGCGGTGGCTCATCTCGATGCCATATGGAGAATGAATGACACCCTGGAGAGAAGAGTTGATGAAAGAATAGCAGGAGTGGGTGTTTGTTTTTTTGGTCTCTTTTAGGAACGTTTTTTCAAGGGAGAGGTGGAGTTACTGATGTTATCCAAAATGCAGTTTCAGTTAAGAATGCTGAAGTTAAAAGCCAATTGCAGGAGGTTAAAAAAATGGTGAGAGGAGTCTTTCCTTTATCCAGCTGTCCATGAACATTTGGAGGTGAGAGGGAAAGGAGAAATGAGATGATGAAGGCTATAGGGGACAGTGTGGTTAGAGGAGGATTCTGGCATACAATGGGAGCCTGCAGAAGACAAGGGAAAGACTGAAGATGCTGAGGAAGAGAATGATTCAGAAAAATTTTACAAATAAAACACTAGAGGCCCGGTGCACTGATTCATGCACGGGTGGAGTCCCTCAGCTTGGCCTGTGCCCTCTCGCAATCTGGGACCCCTCAGGGGATGTTGAACTGCTGGTTTCAGCCCAATCCTTGAAGGCCAGGCTGAGGGACCCCACTGGCGCACGAATCTGTGCACCAGGCCTCTAGTATGCATGTAAGATCTTTGGCTAATCTCTTTCCACCCTCCTCCTCCCTCTCCCCCCTCCCCTCTGAGATTCATCAGTCTGTTCCATGTTTCCATGCCTGTGTGTTGAGGGTCTTCCCCTGGTGGTCAGTGGGCATCACAGCTACTGGTCGAACGGTCGAATGGTCACTTAGGCTTTTATTTATATAGATTGCTTCCTGAGAGTGAGACCTCACAGCAGAGCAGCCTCAGGTGTACTTTACTTTTCAACCACTTGGGGGAGACTTTCCCTCACAAATCAAATAAAAATCAGCTGCTGGGAAGGGTTCATCAAAGCATATCCCCAGGCTATTTAAAAAGCCTTTTTATTTTTCATTCCTTATTGAATCTTAAAAATGTTAAAAGTACCTGTTTTTATATTTACTCCATAAAGTACTATGCCACTCTTAGATTGCCTTCTGTTCCCAATATCAATAAATAAAACGAAAGTCCTTTGCATTAATTCACTAAATGGAATAAGCACTTAGGTACTGCCTCAAACGAATGTGTACTGCTTTAGGGCTTTCATAATGCAGACTTGTGCATTGACTAACTTGGTGGGGAGGGTGAGAATTAGAATTTAACTGTCTCATTTTATGGAGCAAGGAAATTAGAGCTTTGCCTGTACTCACACATGGACAGTGGTGTATGGGCTTCTGGTTCAGCATACTTTCATTAACATCATGCTAAAGAAATTTCTGCCAAAATTTTATAAGCCATCTTTATTGTCCCGGGATGATAAGGGGATGAAGCAGATCCCCTGGTTCTGTCACCAAAAAGGGGGCAACTTCTGTTCTTTAACCCCCTAGTGCAGTGGTTCTCAACCTTCTGGCCCTTTAAATACAGTTCCTCATGTTGAGACCCAACCATAAAATTATTTTCGTTGCTACTTCACAACTGTAATGTTGCTACTGTTATGAATTGTAATGTAAATATCTGATATGCAGGATGGTCTTAGGCGACCCCTGTGAAAGGGTCATTCGACCTCCAAAGGGGTCACGACCCACAGGTTGAGAACCGCTGCCCTAGTGTGAGGTGGTTAGGTTCTCCCCAATTCGACCTGGATAAGGAGAGAGGGTGGATGGTGATGTCCTGGAAGGGGGAGAGTAAGGAGAGGTGTCTGAGAGTTCGATGTTCCTCAGTTAATCTTTGTGGATGAAAACTGGATCAAAGAAAACAACTGTCATCATAGAACTGACTTGCAATCCAGTACTATTTGTTTATTCACACTTGTGATCTATAGCAGAAAGCAAAGTGGGGGGTGGGGGGGAGAGATAAAAAGCAGCAGGTCATGGTTTGAAATCAGACCTGGCAGTCCACAGGCCTGATTTGGCAAATGGGCAACGTCAAAATGCAGGTGTTAGTTTTTACTTAGATGGGGTTTAAAAATGCTTTTTAAAACGTTTCCAGCATTTCAAAATCAGGAGATCACACACACACACACACACACACACACACACACACACACACACACACGCTCACTTTTGTTTTCATTTTTTAAAAGCAGCCCTGGTGTTCCTGGTGTCATAGGTCCCCACTTGGTGAAAATGGAATTGAGCTGATGAGCATGGGCTTACTCCCCACTTCACTCTCTCTCTGCAACTATCAGTTCCATTGATTTTTATTAATCTCCTGGCTTCCATAGGCAGCTGACCTTGGAACCCCAGTGAAAGCCATCCTCATTCTTGCTGCCCATTCTCTCCTTCCTGCCCCCAAGAAGGTAGTCAGTGACTGTGTACAGATGTCTCGTTAGCATTTGCTTTGCTGCTATGTTTACATATAATGTTAAGCTGAACTATTTTCTGAACTGACATTTTCTGTAGCAGCAGAGACCACAAAACCCAGTGCTGACAGTTAGCCAATTTCCTCTCGATACATACGCCCTGGAAAACTTGGGGATTCCCAGCCTCTGGAGAGCAAGTCCTGCTCTGCATGGGAAGTTCTGCCTTCTGTGGAGTCCACATTGGCTTCCTGTTCTCAGCCATTTTTTGGCCTTTCTTTTGCTTTTTGAAACTCTATAAACAAAAACAAGCCTTTTTTAAAAACAACAACAAAAAACCCAAAACATTTTTATTGATTTCAGACAGAAAGAGAGAGGGAGAGAGAGGTAGAAACATCAACGATGAGAGAGAATCATTGATTGGCTGCCTCCTGCACACCCTACACTGGGGAAGGAGCCTGCAACACAGGCATGTGCCCTGACCAGGAATCGAACCTTGACCTCCTATTTCATAGGTTGATGCTCAATCACTGAGCCACGGCTGGCAGGCTATAGACAAGTCTTAAAGCCAGAGCTGGGCAGGCGCCCTGCCATTCACCTGCGCAACCTTGCTGCTGTATTTGCTCCAGGGGTTGACTGATGCTCTCGGACAGCCTCCTCTGCTCTGAAGTGCATCCATTTAGGCTAAATTGTCTTTCTTTCCCATTGCTGTTAGGATTATGCATATCATGTGGTGAGTGCGATCTGTGAATGGACAGTGGCCTTCGGTTTTATTTTTTACTTCCTAACGTTCATCCATGATTTCCAGGTAGGTGTTTATCCATTTCAATGTTGTAAATTGCTGACAATTAGGATTGGAAAAATCCATAGAAAATTTTTTGCATGAAAAATGAGAGCATGATTTGCCTTTCTTTTTACTATTACGTGTTTGGAAAAATATATGTATTGTGCAACTTAGTTTTTTCCCAAAGGCATGCGGCTTTAGCAGCTCTCCCAAACAATGAAGTTTCCAGTGTCCTCTGCCACTTGATGTTTATAGTTATACATCCTGATTTTGTTTTTTTTAGGAGGTCTCATTTACTGGTTCCAAATGATATGTCTTTTTATGTTGTTTTATTTATTTTATTTTTTATTGTTGACACAATTACAGATGTCCCACATTTTCCCCCTCTTTGCCCACCTCCACCCATCCCTCACCCCTGGAGATATGTCTTTTTATTTATTTGAATTTTTTAGTTATTGATTTGAGAGAGAGAGAGAGAGAGAAAGAGAGAGAGAGAGAGAGACATCGATTTGTTGTTCCACCTATCTATGCATTCACTAGTTGATTCTTGTATGTGCCTTAACCGGGGATCAAACCCCAACCTTGGTGTGTTGAGACACTGCTCTAACTAACTGAGCTACCCAGCCAAAGCCATATATATGTCTTTTGAAAAAATAAAAGTATGTTGTTGAAAAATGTCCACAAGGCAGAGAGAAGGTGGAACCTTATTAGATTTGGCCACAGGTAAAAATCTTAGATTTTTGAAACCAATGAATTGGGACTAGCTAAAAATATATAGAAAGCCAAGAAACTTCTTGAGGAGTCAACTCAAGCTTAGCACAAATCATAGTGAGGTCATGTCTTTGGGGCTGCAAAGCTTTGGGGACTTGAATAGCTGGTACTGGAATTGCTGACCTTCTTTTAAACCTTTCTTTGCTTTTTTTTAATAGAGTGTCACCCTGAGGATATCCACAGAACTTAATAATGACATCTGAAGAAAGAGGAATGGTATCTTACTCGTTGCAAGTCGCAGACAGTTTCTAGATGTGGCACAGGGGACAGATAGGCTATGAATGCTGCCCTGTAGCAGGCAGGCATCTGTGGCACACCCAGGACTTGAGTTTCACGAAGAATTCCCAATAGTTGTCCTATTTCCAAAGGGATGTTTTCCTAGAGAATGTAGAGCACTTATGACCTAGCAATGTTTGTATAATTTTCTAAACTGGTACTTTTTTTATATTCACAAGTTCATTACACAAAAGATAAGGTGTTACGGAAAATGGAGAGCTCTTATTTTTGTACAGATTCTGTTTTGTTGTTTCTTTGTGTGTGAGTGATTTCTGGAAATACACTAAATGAGGAATTTACTAACAAGTAACCTCAGGATATTTTGAGAATAAACTATAATTTCATATGAGGGCATTTGTACACTTCAATTTATAGTGATCATCAAGATTTAGTTAATAAAAGAACTCTAGCTATGACACTGATTCTTAAATGAATTAAATAAGCCAAATGCTTTTATCAAAAAGCCTTAATACCACCATACACATTAATGCTCCACAGAAAACCTCAGTTTTGAACTTCTGCCTTGCTCACAGGAGCCAGAGGCTTTTCCTTTGCTGCTGATTGGCAGTTTGTAATGGGCATACTTTTAAAAAATACATGTTGTTGTTTTTTTTAATTGATTTCAGAGAGAGGAAGGGAGAGGGAGAGAGGGATAGAAACATCAAAGATGAGTGAGAATCATTGATTGGCTGCCTCCTGCACGCTCCCTACTGGGGGATTGAGCCTACAACCCTGGCATGTGCCCTGACAGGGATTCAAACCGTGACCTCCTGGTTCATGGCTCCATGCTCTGCCATGGCTGGCTGGGATGGATTCAGCAGTGCTGGTTAGAAATCACAAACCTTTCACAGCAGAGTAACATGGAGGTGAGCAGCTAAAGGGAAAACCTCCCTGAATTCGGGTTGAGCAAGGAGGGAAAGTGAGTCTCAGGGACATTCGTGGAAGGCGGGACTATAGGAAGGAGACTTGTACTTGATACCAAACCTCTGCCAAGTTACGACAGACCCAGGAATGGTTATCAGGTCCCTCTGGGGAGCACTGAGGAGATAGATGGTTTGTCCCATGCTGTGGGTCCCCATGATCACCCTGGAACTGGAAGACTGATCAAAGCTATGTCGAGCAGTTGTTTTTCTGAAGGGAGGAGGAATGCCACATGCCTTTAGCATGGAAACTGCAGTTCATGGTTGGTCTCACTTTGGACAGACTTGTTATCAGCACCTCCTTATGCATGGTCTTTCTCTTTTCCACATCTCTCTGTGAGATTAGATTGGGAGCTCCTTGAGGGCAGAGTATGCGCCTTACTCTTGATCCTTATAACTCTAGCATTTAACCAGGCACCACCTGGTACACCATAGGTGCTTAATAAACACTCATTGACTTCATGAATGAATGAGTGAACATATAAAGGAATGACTAGAGATATTTGTAGTGCTGCCTACTGAGATTTACACTGATTCGCCAGTTAAGTGATGGATCAATAGTTGTTGACTGTTTTTGTTTCATGTACTGTAAACATTTCAGTTGTGTGGGCTTCACTATTCTCTGACAACTCTCTTCGCGCTGGATAGTTATCACAGAAATTGTTACCTGGGCTAGACAAAATGGTACACCTGGCCTTCGCCAACGACTAGGCCAAAACTCACTCCAGACAGCCACTTTCTGCTGATTCCATACAACCTTTAAACTTGGTCTGTTCCACATTTCGGTATTTCTCATTTCCAAGAACTTGCATTTCCTTGGACCTCATGGCTGAAAGAGTTAAATAAAATGAAGCACTTCTTTATTTTAGCAATTTGTGTCTCTGTTAAATTATAATATGTTGCCTGGGTACAACAATGATATATATTTATCAGGGAAACAATTCTAGCTCTTTTGGATTTTATAAAGGTTTAATTTAAACCTTACATTTTCTTAAATCATGTAACTTTGCATGTGGGCACATGGCTTATCTTTGTAGGGATTCATTTTATTGTTTTACTAAAGGCCCAGTGCATGAATTCATGCACGGGTGGGGTCCAGCCGGCCTGGCCCCCATCGGGGTGTATAGGGGCTGGGCCTATCAGGAGGAGGAGATGGCGGGAGGTTGGCTGGCCTGCCTGCCCTGATTGGGCCTGATCAGGGCCGGGCCGGCTGGGGGAGGGGTTGTGGGTGGTGGGCTGGCCAGCCCTGTCCCTGAATGGGGTGAGGGGTGATCAGGGGCAGGGCCAGCCAGGGGGAGGGGCTGCAGGCTGATCAGGGTGGTGGGGGCCCATAGGGGGTAGGGATGGCTGGGGGGAAGGAAATGGGGGTGGGTGTTTGGCCAGCTGGTCTGCCCTTGATCAGGGTGGGAGAGTCTGATCAGGGACGGGCTGCCCAGGGGAGGGGCCATGGGAGGTTGGCTGGCTGGCCCCACCCCCTGATCAGGCGGGTTCGCTGGCCACAGTGGGCGTCATAGCGGCCGGTCATTCTGGTCATTATGGCGTTACTGTCACTGGCTTTTTATATATATAGATTTTAATTACAGTTCACATTCAATGTTACTTTATATTTCAGATGTACAATACAGTAGTTAGATAATGGTATAATTTACAAAGAGATCCCCTCAATCTTTCCAGGACTCTCTTTATTCTCTGCTGTCAGCTCTGCTTTCCTCTCTGGTGGCATCATTCTCAGGCAGGCTTTCCTCTGGTCAGAGTGAGATGGCTTCTGGAAACCCCAGGCCTGCACCCTGTCCAGTGGGAAGGGAGGACTTCTCAGTAGTTCCAACAATAGCTAACGAGCTGAAACTCGTTGTCTGCAATTGGCTGGCTTGGTCACATGCCCATCCAGTAGCTCTGGAAGGCAGGATACTCGGATTAGTCAGACCTGGGTCACATGTCCACCTCTGGAGCAGGAAAGAGTCAATACCCACCCAAACTACTCAACTGATGGTGGGTGGAAGTTGTTTCTCAGAAGGAAGGGTTGAGAAATGGGTTTTGAACAAACACAAAGCAAGATCCTATTGTGAAATTAAAGTCCCCTCGCCCCACCCCCGTATGCCAGAAAAGCCAACCTAACTTCGTTCAGAGTAAACCAAAGTGTACTTGCTGACAACCTTTTCAGGTTGAAAGAGAAGAAAATGTAAGCCATGTAGGTAATAAGCATGCCTTCAGTTAACTTCAAAGTTATGTTTGTACTTTTTCAAGCCTCTTGTGTTCTTAACCTCTATGTGCTTGGTCAGGCAATTAATTATCACATGTTTCGCCCTAGCTGGTTTGACTCAGTGGAAAGAGCGTCGACCTGGGAACTGAAGGGTCCTGGGTTCGACCCAGTCAGGGGCACATGCCCAGGTTGTGGTCTCAGATCCCCAGCAGGGGGTGTGCAGGAGGCAGCTGATCAATGATTCTCTATCATCACTGATGTTTCTATTTCTCCCCCCCCCTTCCTCTATAAAATAAAAATAAAAATATTTTTAAAAATTATCACATGTTTCAGATGAGGAAGGCAAAGAGAAGTTCAATGACCTGCAAGAGATTCTACTTCCAGATGGCAACAGATTCCAGATGGGAATCCATTTTCCCTAATTTCTAATCAAGTGGGTCTTTTTTTTAACACACAAGAGGATTCCACAGAAATTGTATTTATAAACCAAATTAAGTACATCAGTGTTGTGCTGTGTGTGGGATTCCACACATTCCTTACATGTGGCATTATCCCATGTTCCCATTTTTTACTCAGTTGGAGACATACTGGTCTGGTGTTTGGGTCTGGAATGAGGAAGGAGGAGTGTGAGGGAGATAAGTGGTATCCCGTTCTCTCCCACCCTTGATTCTGGCAGTCGGTGAGCCCAGCCGTCTCCCCACACACATACTCTTGGTCTGACTCTGAGTGCCCCGCATTCTCAAGGCCAGAAAGTCATGCCTCTGTGTCCAGCCAGTTGCACAAGAAGCAGCCACAGCCTCAGCCCCAGAAAAGCTGCTGATTTGCCTGGGTCACCCTAGCAGACTCATCTTCTACCAGGAAGGGAAGCAGGATGCCCAACTGATATTGGGGCTTGGGTGGGAGTGACCTCAAAATTCAATGCTTGGAAAATACTGAGGGAGATTCCAATCATATGCAAACACAGAGCACTCCTGTTTTCCCGACTCACTGCACTGGGGTGGCAAGAAAATGTCTAGTGGGTACTCAACTGCTGCCACTCACCACACACTCTGAGCCATTGGTTCCTATTTAAAATGTTCAAATCAGTAATATTCACAATTCAAAAAATCAAAACAATATAAAAAGGGGTTCTGTGCAAAAGCCTTTGTATTTTTCTCTATCCACATTTATTCAACTCCTCTCCTTGAAAATACCCACCTTTTATGAAAATACAAGCAGAAACACATTTTGAAATGTTTCCATTTGAACTTCTACCCCGAAAGTAGCATACTGTAATTTTGAGCTTTCCTTTTTTTTGACTAAGCAATGGATGTCTCCTTGTCAATACACAGAAAGCTTTCTCATTTCTTGGTTCTAGTTTATACATGTACTGTATTGCACTGCAGGGCTGTGCCCTCATTTATTGAACAAGTCCTCTATTTGATGAACAATGTTGTGGTTTTCAAACTTTTGCAATTACAAGTGGATGACCTCATAGGTACATCATTGCACACATGCCCACGGAAATCTGTGGGAGAAATTCCCATAAGGGGGAATGCTGGGACAAAGAGGAATTGTATCTCTAATCTGACCAACACTGTCTATCATCTTGTCTTTAGAATCTTTTCACTTGAGTATTTTTTGTTTTAAAATCTTTCCAACTCTCTCACACTTTCTTCTAAGCTGAGGATGTCAACTATAAGTTCACTTTTCCTTGATGACTCATTGATTCATCCACAGGCACAGCTGCGGGCTCTGTGGTAGACAGTGTGGGACAGAGGTCAGCTGACTTTGACATTGCTCTAGACACACTCTCCCTCTCATCCCCCTTGATTTAAACACCTGGGGCAGGGCAGGCAAGGCTGTCTACTTCCCCTTCTGCAGACAACAGAACCCTACTGTCTTCTAGCTCCATCATCTGGCTCCTCCTTTTCATGATCAAGAGCGTCTCCAGCTCTCGTGGGCTTTTTATTGTGAGCTCATGCTTTTGTCTCTACCTTTTCTCATCTTGTCCCTTTTCTACCCACTTTTTCTTTGGGGTATTGCTTTGAAGGGCTGCCACGTCACTTATACCTCCTTATCTTTTTGAGAACATTGTGCTTTTACAGACATTAGTCATCAGCCACAATATTCTCTTTCTCTTTTCTCGAAAAGGGACCCATTCATTATAGGGCACTGGGGGAATCTACAGACCACTTGGCCCTCTCTGACCTTGTAGGCTGGTGGTCCGTGCAGGATGATGCACTGAGTGGAGGACACCAGCAGTGCAGGGTACACAAAAAGAGGAAGGGGGAAACTCCAGCTTTGAGAAACTTGAAAGATTTAGAAAACATAGACTTTAATTTTGCTTAAAAGTACCTTTTATGTAATTTTTTAAAATTAATAAACTTGACTTTTTACAGCAGTTTTGGTTCATGGCAAAACTGAGTGAAAAGTACAGAATTCTTCCACATTCCTTGCCCTCTCACATTCACAGACTTCTCTACCAGAATGGTACATTTGCTATACTTGGTGAACCTACATTGACACATTATCATTCCTCATAGTCCATAGTTTACTGTGCTGTGCCAACACAGCCAAGGGTTTGGTGAGCCTGAGGCAGGGGGGTGGGGGGTGGGGGGTGGGATGAAGGATTAAAGAAAAGACAGACAAAGAGAATACAGCTGGGGCTCGGTGGATCTCCTGTGCTTGGATGAGGCCACAGAGAAGGATCCAGCCAGCAAGCTGAGGCTTTATTTTATAATCAGAGAAAAACAAGGTAGTGGTCAACATAGTTACAATGTTCTTGTGAGTTTCACTTGTTTTGGCAGCACTTGCTGCATCTCTCACAGCCCATTAGTTACCTAGGAAGGATCTAGAGGGCAGCCATAAGGTCAAGCTTAATTATGCTAAGAGGGCTCTGCCCTCTAAGCTGGGACTTGCTTGTGGCTCTGCCACAGGTCAATCCGAGGCTTAACTCTAGAGCCACTTCCTACAGTTTACATTAGGGTTCACTCTTGGTATTGCAAACTCTATGGACTTGGACAAATATATAATGGCCTGCATCCATTATTGTAGTATAATACAGAATATTTTCACTGCCTTAAAAATCCTTTTGTTATTTTGAAAAAGAAAATATTATTTGGAATTACCTATGGGGAAGCATTCTATTTTTTTCCAGCACCAGGTATTTAGGGACTTTGGCTTCACCACTAAGGACATCTGTCTACCTGCTTGCATCATGTTCCATATTGAAGGCACATTTTAATAATTAGCCCATTTTAGTAAAAATTAAGGTACAGCGAGGTTATCACCAAGTTTCAAGTGAGGGACAGAACAAAATCCAGAGCTGTGGCTCCTACAGTTAACCTTTTCCAATAGAACAATGGGATTATTGACCAACATCATGTGATTATGAATTAATTTTCTGGGGTCATATAATACAAAGCACTGAGGAGTGAAATTCCTACACTGGTCAGGTCAGAAAAATGAGTAAAATGTTTGGGTGGTTGTTGCAAAAGGACAGATCCTGGTTGAACGCTGTGCATCTAAGACTTGGGGGCAGGAGGTAGGTAGTGGGTGTCAGGAGTAGAAATATAATAGTGTGGAGGGTGGGAGCAGGCTAGAAGGGGTCAATGGGGGGAAAAAGGAGACATATGTAATATTTTCAACAATAAAGATTAAAAAAAGAAATATCACATAGAGAGGGGTCTT